ATATATAGGTCTGTACATTATAGGCCTACATGTGGTCTAACGGTATGTAACTCGCCTTGAAAGTGAGCCCACCAGAGATACTTATTTCCATACGAAATTTCAATATTTCTTAAATGCTGATAATATTACTTACATTGTTAGATTTTTTTTTAAATTTCATTATAGGCTTACTACAAAGTACGTCTGCTTTGGGGAGGTTTTAATTGTTATGGCCACATGCCCACAACTATATCTACTTTTAAGTCGTTTGGGTCTTTTTGACACAATTTGCTAATAAAGCCAACGCAATTTCTAGTCACTGATCGTAATTTGATTGTATGGTAAATTAAACTTGACATTTTCAAATTAGTGTTGTACAGAAGTGATGACATCACAGTAGGTACCTCATCAGGTTGCCAGATCTACTCTCCACAATTCCTCAGGTTGGAGTGCGAATACTTGAATTGTTCGCGTTTAAGGTAGAAATAGAAGAATAATACTATTAGTATCGGTACTAATTCACGAGCCTGGATGTCTCTTGCCAAGTCTATAGGTGTAATGTACAGTAATATATAGACGCTAAATCCCACATTTGATCAAACTAATAATATTTGGCCTATTGTTAAAACTAACATTAAGTCTATTGGAATACACGTACCGTAATAGCTAGACATAATTAGCATGGCAGTACTTGTGATTTCAATTCGTCACCCCCATTCCAAACAGAAAAAAAGTTTTATCTTCAATCAATCATCTTATAAATGGGGGCGCTATGGATTGCACTTGTAATCAATCAAAAACGTGCCGGGTGTCTCATGCCAGGTCTTTTGAAATTGATAGCGTTTTGTGTTGAAGTTGGACGTTATAATGTACCGAGAGTCCTAAACACGGTTACACAGTTTAAAGGCAGTCCCAGTTTGCTTACAATAAGAGGCTCATTTACAGGTACTTTAGCCCACTATGGCAGTAAAGAGCGCAATAATATAAAATAATTCGGACAACGAAAACTGCCGTTAAATAATCAGTTGTAATAAGTAAAGCGATAGTTAGGTTTTTTATGTTGATTAAGTACCGGTACCGTAATGCCTCATTAGAATTATTTGGTCTTTGTATAGGGCATACGGCAATTAATAACTTTTCCCCCTGTGTCACAAATGTAAAGTGTCTGGTCATGTATTTCATAAAAACGTATGTAAACCTGGATTGGAATTTATTTTACTTGTGATTTGATGTAATACGTCCTGATTGACGGTAATATGTCTACGTGATACTTCTGATAAGGCATGCATGCTCTATGAAACACTCTTAATTTGCCGTGTATGATGATCGACATGTGTCCATTGTTGAATAACCTATATCTCTGTAACCTTTAGTAATCGTTTGATTGAAATTTGGTGATGAAACACACCAATACCCACGAAGTTCCGAAAGACTTTCAGTAAAGTCCACTTATGGGTTAATTTGGCAGTAAAACGGAATACAACTGCTTTTTCTCCCGAAAAGTACAGCGTTCGTGCATTTGGGCCTGCACTGAAGTGGAACAAACGGTCTTAACGTCTCATCCTATAAAGACGATGCGCTGTTTGTAAACTTGTATTTAGACCCTCCAGCTAAAACACAAAGTAAAGCAGCGTGGAATAGAACCAGGGCACCAACGGTTTCAGCGCGCGCACAGTGGCACTGTGTTACTTCAACCTCCGAGTGATGAGCTAAGCTGATCTCTCACGTTGGACTTTTTATGTGTCTGTAATGACCCACGAGAAGATATATGTTGCCTGCACTGTACATCATTGCGAATGTTAAGAGTGAGTTCAAGCCTACAGCTTACTGTAGATAAGGTAGCTGTATCCATGCTGTATCATAGGCCTAATGTAGCCAGATCATTCACGGACATTTGCGTCATATCAGGTTGCACATGTGACAACATCACAGCAGCTGCTTGAATTTACGTTACCGTACTATAGACCTGCTTTATTTATTTATTTATTTATATTATGTCACATCCATGTATTAACCTCGCATTCTGAGCAGTAAATTGAAAATTAAAATATGTGTGTCGAATGCTATCGTTTTTATCATGAGATATTATGTGGTTTAATTGAACGTTGTATCTTTGGTAGTTTTTACGATAAAAAGACAGTTTCGCAAATCCCAGCCCACCCCCTCACCCGCACAGAAGCATCATAAGCTCTGTTTTCAAAATGCATGTACAACACGCAATCGTTGTAGGGGTTTGCGTTATCGGTTTTACCACGTCTTTGCGAAGCTAATCATGTTTTTTTATATTTCAACATTGAATATTCGTAATTGAATACCATTTCTGTAACTTTTTGGATTGTGAGTGTGTCTAAATTTTATTTATATTCAAGATGGTTTT